TCAACAAGATTGACAGCCAGCCATTATTATTCTATATGGCACCTCTACGTCTTAAGCGGTCCTGCCTTGCAATGGCACTCTGCTCTCACGGGAACACGTGCCCTTCAGATCTCTCAGGCAAACATAGCTATGCTCACTTCCACTGCTAACTCCTCCTTGCTTACTCTCAAAGACCAACTAGAGGATAGAAAAGCTCTGTCCTGCCAGGGAGCTAACTCAAAAGCCAAAATTAGTAAATCACTGTGCACATGACGATGGCAAATGGCAAAGGCCACTCCTATGTATCACTATAAAAAATAACATTAATTGGGATGCTTTGCAATTTCCTGTACAACCCGTAATTAGGTTAGATAAGAAACTAGCAGTGTCTAAGTGCTATAAATGTCTAAATTAAGTTATTTTGAAAGTGCTCGGCACTTTGACATTTGAGAGTTCAGAGTAATTGGGGTATTGAAATAAAATTGCTTCTGTTATTTAAAAGGTCATTATCTTCTTTGGGTAGATATATGAGGACTATTTTCCACTCTATTGAGCCGTTCTATTTGGTACAATTAGACCTGCTTGAGTAGATTTCTAGTGGGCTTCCTCCCACTTATCACAGTCCCAGCACTGCCACAGGGAAGGGTGTAAATACACAGCCCAAATACGGAGTATATATTCAGCTCATAATCGGGCTCTGAAGAGCCAAGAGCTGTCCAGAGTTTCACACAGACACCGACCATGAACACCACAGGCTGCTACACCCAGCAAGGTGGCAACTGAGTCCTTACGCAACCAAAGCCAACAAATGCCACCTTACAGGCAGAAGCCAGCCTGCCAGGCAGACAAAGGCTTTGGAGCATCTGAGACTTTCACCTTCCCAACCATACTACCGCACAGTCTGGCAGTGACTCTGGTTATTTCAGTAACACTACTGGGAATCCCTTGTTTACAGTATGCACGGTCCCACTGTCACAAAAAAGATATGCCTTTTGCTTACCTACCAGATCTGGTGCACTGCAACTGTGAGTCAAAGATGGGAACATAAATTCCTACACCTTGACTATATTTTATTTTGGTTAGCCTATCGGTGTCAGTAAAATAAGGGGATATAAAGACATAGACATTGACAGGGGCAATTTAACTTGTTACCTCCTCTCCACTAGAGACTGCCATAGCCAGGAGAACATGGGGAATAGACTGAGTCAAAGACCAGTCTCACTGTTCATTCCAGTGGCTTAATCCCTCTGCTCCCCCCAGTGGGAGCTGAGCATCCCACCAAAAGTGGAGTAGTTATAGAAGCATGACTCTTCATTGTCCCTCCTGGTCAGGGAACAAGGAAGAAGCAAAGTCCTTAGAGCTTCCTGCCCAAACTGAACAAAGAGACAATTTCTGACATGAAATGGGGAAAGTTCCCATGTTGCTGTTGCAATTAACCACACAGAAACAGCTTCTCCCCCATCAGTAAGAGCTCACGATGTTCTCTCCACTACAGGACTCACCTGATATCCTCAGCGCCAGCCACCCAGCCAGCACACTCCCCATTGCTCCCGCAGTGACTACACCAACAACCCTCCACAACACTTGAGTATGAACACATTGAGTGATCACTGAACACAGGCATGGCTGTTGTCACCACAAGGCCTACATTTGCTCAGTGCTCATTACAGCAAATATTACTCATAGTTACCAAGATCCCAATGTACTGCTGAAGGCTGTCTGGTTCTCGATACCAGGCTTCTGTAAGTCATTTAACTCTAGTGCAGGGAATAATGGGGTGTCCTTTTAGAAACTTCATGTGGCAAATTTCCAGGAGCCTCCTGACACCTGGGAAAAGCTCTGATGACAACTTGTCTGTAAGGCAAAAACCATAGGGAAGGTTGGCATTCCTCCACCAGCGCTGTTCCCTGGCACAGCTGCCCTTCACCCTGGCTGACTTCAATGACAATAGTTGCTATGCACATGTCTGAATAGTGACACCAGTAAGGCAACTAGTCTGATCCCTAAGTGAGGTGTGTGACCTTAAGTAAACAAATCACTCCAGCCACCTGGATCAGAGCTGTTTAGTACCAAGCAGGAGGAGACAAGAGAGCTGGGATCAGATCCAGAGATACTCTGGGTTTCTTTTTCAACTTCCTTGGAATGTCCCTCCTGAAAGATGAGAGTCAAACACAGCAGGTTGCATTTTCATGCAGAAGGGAGCATATTCCTGTAAATTATTTTAGCTCATATGGCTCTCAGATAACCTCCCTTGTGATAGCCATAGGGAATCATGAATTAGATGATCTTTTTACCAATACACTCTTGTAACAAGCTATGAGATCCCTGTATGAAAAGGAGCACATGGTGACAATCATAGGGGAAACTTACCTTCAGGAGTTACAAACCTGTTTGCATGGATTTCTCAAAAAAGGTTTGAGCAAATTTCTTTTTATGAGGATGCAAAGGCCCAGCAGCGCAAAGGCAGCTCTGCAAATATTGCTTCACTAGCGCTTATTAGCCAACAGAAAGCTACAGAAATCAGACAGTATTTAATGCTCACGGTAACATTTGTAAGACTTCTATTGCCGAATAAGGAAGCAAGATGGTCTGTGCAATAACCAAATAAGTGTGATTAAGGCATTTTAGTGTTTATGGTCTTCAATTAGATTAAGCTGGTTTTTAAAGTCACATAGAGATTGTCCTGTTCCACATTTCTTTTCTTGGTTTCCCTAAGGCAGAGTTTAAGTCTGTGCCTAATTTCTGCATTTCTTATCCGAATGGGATTGGATTTCTTTTAAGGGTAATTCTCGCCCTGAGCTACTTACCCCTTGCAAAAGTTGGTTCTGAGGCAATTACAACACTCTGGTAATGTTGACACTGTGCCATTTACTTTCAGCATAACTTCACTGTTACTGTATCTGCTGTGAAATTGCACTACTCTTAAGTTTTCAAGCATATTCTAGATCTCCTACCTCTACATCCCATGCAACCATTAGAGAATCAGTATCACACCAGGATACCCACCAAACAGGCACCACTACTGTCCCTGAGCTAGCACCAAGCCTTGTGTATATGTCAGTGAAAGCCACCTCCACATCTAGAGCTGGCAGAATTTCAGGGACATTCAACATTTACCAAACACACAGGTGACCAACACAAACATAAAAGTAGGTACTTGTAACAGGGCTGCTTTCACAGCTGATTGTTCAACTATACGTAACAAATTTCTAGCAAAAACTTCATGTCACAGACACTGGCCTGCAGAAAAATGACCAGGTAGCATTCTGCCACTGCTCACATACTGGCTGTATCAGACAGAAAATTTGATGATGGCAACATGCTTACATTTGTGCCTTAATTCTGAAAGCAAGGAGTGGTGCTTTTGGTAGTCACATCATGCGTTTCTTTCCATGACTTACAGATCTGGGGAAAATTCTCTGGAGCCAGATAGGAACCAAAAACTTTCTCAACCAAGCACTGATGTACAGCAAATCACTCCTAATCAGAATTTTCACCAGGAGGAAATTGCAACCCATTTCTATTCATTTGCCTTTTTATATTCTCCCAGAATATAAAAGTCCCTGGTCATTAGAAGCAGCTTGATTCAGGAAGACATTCATTTTAACATGCTGACTTCACACATGCACTCTCTGGAATTGCTCTCTGTGATCCAAAACCTGATGTAACTCGTCCTTCTCTTGAAGATGTAAGACAACTGATGTTAAACAGAAGGAGATGAATCTGTCAAATCCATGCTTGGCTAGCCTCTTTTTATACCAAACAAAGTCAGGTTGATGTTTAGAGCACTGGAACCACTAGTGATGCTGTCCAGGCTGCAAAGTAGGTGCCATTGACAGCTCTAGGAAAGGGAATATCTGCTAGTAGCAAAGACAGGCTGCATGAAAAGGCTAAAGGAGGAGACATCATTATCAAGCTATCAAGATGCCTACTAGGTAAATGAAAACACAGGTAGTGAGTTGCTTTCATCATTCTTAATCGCCTTTATCATGGGTCAGTAAAGCTGTATTAAGAGTTGACAGGAGTCCAAATCTTGCTGGCCATGTATCCAAATCACAGCTTATTTTTAAGGAAGGTGCAGAGAGGGAAGAGGAAAGAAGTAGTGTACTTAATTTTGTTGAATTTTATGACAATTGACCTTTCCCTAGTTCTCAGGAAAAGGAAAGATGGGCATGGTCCATGCTTGCTCCATATGGTTACTTTGATTGCAAAGACATTGGTGCGTTTTGGCCCATTTTCAGTGTATGTTTCACTGAGCACAGAAATGATAGTATTTGAGTCATCAAGTCATGCACTTGGAGGTTAGAAAGGATAACCAGGCAGGTCATCTGTGTAGACATAATGCAGCCTTCCTTGTATGTCTGCATCACAAGCTAGCCTCTAATTACTACATTTTCCACAGGCAATTACCTCACTCTCTGTGGAGGTTAGACTGAGCTGCGGGTTGGGATTGGGGGGAGGACATGTGTCAGCACTCTGTAAGGAAGGAAGCTGCTTGCCGTAGGAAGTCTTGCTCATTCAGCAACATCATTCAAAAGAAGAGTCATGAACAAAGCACTGCCCTAGAGGAAGAAGAAAGTTGATGGTGTAGTTGGAGGAAGACTGGTAAAAACCTGTCTTATACTCCAGATTCTTCCTAATGATGCTGGCAAGTCTCTAGCACCAAGAATTTGGCACACAGCAGTTCCTCAGTCTCTGACTGTCCAGTGCAGTACACACAAGGCTTCACTCCTGCAGTGCTAACCAGTCCCAGTGTAGTGGAAATCAGGAAACTCTCCTGGCTCTGTCTGTTCAGGGGTGTATTCAGTAGTATGAACACAAGGGCCTCCATGGCCATAATTGTCCTTTGAGTTCATCCTGGCTCTGTCCTACTCAGTCCATGATGTTCATGAAGCTGCTCTGCCTAAGTGGCTGCTCAGCTCTTCTGTTTGTAAAATAAGATACTCAATGTCTTTACCACGTCAAGCAGGGATATGGGAGAGGGTTAGTTATCAGTCTAGCTCCTTGAAATTCTCATAGTGTTAAGGATCTTGATTTTTCACACTTTCTCCATCTCCACTAGGGACACAAATGACACAAATTTATTACACTATTGCCTCAGCCTTCTTACACCACATGAACCTACTTCTACCTTGCAGTGTAACCATGAAGATAAATCCTGAAGTATGTCTCGTATACCAATATTCCAGAGAACACCAGGACAAGGCAAGGAAAGAAGGCAGTGAAGGATATGTTGACCAGCTGTGCCAGATCTTCATCCTCACCATTCCATGTATTTCACCTGCCTTGTTCACTATGGAAAAAAAAAAAAAAGAGCAAAAAACTCAGAGATGAAGAAAATAAAGATTGCACCATAACACATGTTCACAAGGGGGCTGGATAAAGGCACCACTATCAGCCTGGGAATTTCTAGCTTCACTTTGCAAACAAAAGGGCTTTTCAGAAGTCAGGCATACATTTTCATGCAGATTCAGGAAAGGAGGAAGAGTAGGAACAGAGATATTAATGATAGCCATTGAAGTCATGAGAAAGGAAGGTTTTGCCTCAGTTGAAGAGGATTAGGTTAGAAATCATTTAGCAAACTGAACATGCACACATCCATGGGCCTTGATGGGATGCACCCACAAGTGCTGAGGGAGCTGGTAGAAGTCATTGCTAGGCCACTCTCCATAATCTTTGAAAAGTCCTGGAGAACGGCAGAGGTGTCTGAGGACTGGAGGGAAGCCAATGTTACTCCAATCTTCAAAAAAGACAAGAAGGACGATCTGGGTCCTAGGCCAGTCAGCCTCACCTCTATCCCTGGAAAGATGATGGAACAACTTGTTCTTGGTGTCATCTCAAAGCATGTTGAGCAAATGAAGTTTATCACGAGTAGTCAGCCTGGATTCAACAAGGGCAAGTCATGCTTGACCAATCTGATAGGTTTTATGATGGCATCACTAGATGGGGGTAAGGCAGTGGATCTGGTTTACCTTGACTTCAGCAAATCTTTTGACACAGTCTCCCATGGCACCTCATAGACAAGCTTAGGAAGTATGGACTGGATCACTGGGCAGTGGGGTGGGTTGGGAACTGGCTGGAAGAAAGAGCTCAGAGAGTTGTGGTCAATGGGGCAGAGTCTAGTTGGAGGTCTCTGGCTAATGGTGTCCCTCAGGGGTCAGTGCTGGGTCCAGCCCTATTCAGTATATTCATCAATGACCTGGACGAAAGGATAGAATAGAACTCTCAGCAAATTTGCTGACCATACCAAACTGGGAGGAATGGCTGCCATACCAAAAGGCTGTTCTGCCATCCAGCATGACCTAGACAGGCTGGAGAGCTGGGCAGGAAGAAATCTAATACAATTCAATAAGGGCAAGTGTAAAGTACTGCATCTGGGGAAGAACCACCCTATGGATCAGTACAGGTTGGGGCTGTTCTGCTGGAGGACAGCTCTGGGGAAAAGGACCTTGGAGTCCTACTGGACAGCAGGATGACCATGAGCCAACAGTGTGCTTTTGCAGCCAAGGCAGCCAGTGGCATCCTGGGGTGCCTTAAGGAGAGCGAGGCCAGCAGCTCAAGGGAAGTTATCCTGCCCCTCTGCGCTGGTGAGGCCTCACCTGGAGTGCTGTGTCCAGTTCTGGGCTCCCCAGTTCAGGAAGGACAAGGAACTACTGGAGAGGGTCCAGGGCCACTAAGACAATTAAGGGCCTGGAGCATCTTCCATATGAGGAAAGGCTGTGTGAGCTGGGTCTGTTTAGCTTGGAGAAGAGGATGCTGCGGGGGCATGTCAGGAATCTGGGGCCAGGCTCTTCTCAGTGGTGTCCAGTGTCGGGACTAGGGGCAATGGCCATAAACTGGAAAACAGAAGGTTCAGCCTGAACATGAGGAAACCCTTCTTCACTGTGAGGGTGACAGAGCCCTGGAACAGGCTGCCCAGAGAGGTGGTGGAGTCTCCTCTGGAGACTTTCCAAAGGCGCCTGGATTTGTTCTTGTGTGATCTACTCCAGGTGATTCTGCTCTGACAGGGGGGTTGCACTAGATGATCTCTAGAGGTCCCTTCCAACCCCTTCCACTCTGTGAATACAATATTGTATGTTAGTAAGAACAAAGATACTGCAACAAACCACTTGATATCTGTTTGAAGCATCATCAGTATCTTCTGATCTCACAGTATTACAATTAGAATATGTTAAATTTATTAAGCTTCATTGCTCTTTGGCATAGTCAAGGCAGTTTTATTTGCTAGCTATTATTTGTGAAATACAATGTGTTTTGCCAAATTCAGTATCTAAAACAACATTTAAAATACGAAAGTTTTTCCAGGAAAAGTACTGCAAAATCTCATTGTCTGTGGGCATGTCTGTCAGCATCTCTCTCACAACTCTGGAGTCCATTCTTTAATTTCAATTAGTTGACTACAGGGTCAGTCCAACAACTCCCTTGAGATTCAGTCCCCAAGCACATGCTTCCAGTTTCTCCAATTCTTTCATGCTCTGAAGTGTAATTTTCTCTCCATCCAAGAGGCTGACAAAATGAGCTCTTGGATATTTCTTCTTACCCGTCCACAGACCAGCAGTAGACTCTTCCCCAGTCATCACCAACTAGGAGCTTGGAGGAATTTCTTGAGAAAGAAAAAGAGAAAAGTGATTAAGAACAGAATGCAAATAGGATCAAGGCTTTCTCCTGTATGTGTAGCAATTAAGAGCATGCAATGTTCAGGAGAGTAGGTTATCATTAATGTTAAATTTGAAGAACAATGATATAGAGTAGACAAAGATTTGTACTTCAAAGATAGAACTTTGAATTGGATACAAACTCTCCTGGAGTTCAACGGGTTAGTTGTGGCCAATCTAACCAGGTAAGAAGCTCTTACCCTTCTCTGAAACACTGTGAATATTAAATAATTTGCTGGCCAGATTCAGAGATCAGATTTGTTAGCATATAATGTCATGGCTTCAGACACTGAAATCTCTGCTGCATGAACTGCCACTAACACTAATGAAATTAACCTTATTCCCCAAAACTTTCCCACTTTCAGTGCATAATAAACATCACAGTCATTTAGTGCTCTAAATCTGAGCATGCAGAATATAGGAATCATTTTAGCATCTATCAAAATGCCAACACTTTTGGAGAGAAAGAGAGCATTTGTTTAACAGTACATTGTCACATCCTGGAGTTGGAGGTCACAATTATTACAGACAGATGAAACTGCAGGAGGGGGATTGAGTAAGCTAAAATATTGCTGGCTGTGCAAACTGACAGGAGTTTAGCAACAAAGTTGTCCTTTGGCCAAAAAATTCTGTTTAGATTTTAAGGAGACAGAGCTCCTAGGATAGTGTTTTTCTCTATGGTGCAGAGACAGTGTAGCAGTGACTGATCTCTACAACTATGATGACCGAAACCTGCTATTTCTCCTGGGTTGTTTCCTACCTGATCACTGACTATCTCAACATTCTACACTTATTATAGTTAGATATACCAGCTCCCAGAGTGATTACATTTGCACTCTGCATGAGACAGAGTGATTCAACTGAGATTTAAAAACAAACAAAAAACCCACACACAAACACCCCTCAATAACAAAAACAAAGCCCAAACCCCAAAACACCAGCAGTAACACAAACTCCAGAATAAAATAAAACCTCATCAATTTAGGGCAGAGTGGTGGAGACACCGAGACTGGTGCGGTGTCTGCTGCCCAAGACTGGTGGCAACGCAGAGGGAAGGACAGTACCTGGATACAGCCAGTGCTGTCACTGCTGGGCTGGTCTTACTTGGTTTTCCAGTCAAGGCAAGGCTGGGACTCAGTTCCCGACAGAGAACAAGATGTTTTCCACACTCGTTACCTGTTGTGTGGTTTAAAAATAAATATTTAGAAAGTGTCTGGGGGCAGCATGGATGGGATTGTTATTATTTATGGTCAGCAAGTTGTTAAGTTGAGAACAAATATATTTAATCTCAGCCTGTGCTGTTGCAAAATAGGCCCACCCCAATTTAATTTGTGGCTATGATAGTTACATGTGCTGACGTGCGGCTGTATCAATTGTGTGCTAAATTGGATTTGTGTATTATTGCTTTCTAAATTGCATGCCTAGTTCAGCAAAATTGTTCATCAGTTTTCACTGGCTCTATGCTTAATAAGATGCCCCACAATACCTTGCTTCCAGGATATAATACAGCCCATAATTGCCTAGTAAAAAGAAATTACACAAAGCCCTGGTATTATCAACTTATCTAAATCTGCTCATAACAGAACCAATAATTAAATGCTGAGAACATTTCATACACACACACACACACCCCTAACAACATAACTCAATCATAGTTACTTTGGTCTTTTTAATGACTATGTGTTGTATTAATTTTATTTTCTTTAATGCGTAGAATGAGTTGTGGGAATATTTGGCCATTTAAAATAATTCTGAAGTCACCTGAATAGTTTAAGGGAGCATATCACTGCTTTGATTACACCTCTCAATTCTCTAATAAAGAACACTGTTGCTGTATGCATCTGAGAACATGCATCCTTACGCTCACGTGTGAACAGCTGTGTGTATCTACACATTACCAAATGCCTGGTCAATGCTTGTCTTCTTTTATGATCGTCTCTGAAAAAGGCACAAACAGGAGTATTCTGCTGTGCTCCCATGGGCAGCTTTTAAATCCTAGTTTGGAGAACTAGTTAAGGTACAAATTTTTAAAATATCTAAAATCTCAGTTTGCTCAAAGACATTCCTGTACAATTGTATCTGAGTAAATAGGACACAGAAATAAATGCCAAAAGGAAGTTACCAAGAATTTAGGAAATTCTTAAACCAAATTGGTTGTTTGTATACATAAAGAATCTGCAAAATGACTACATAATACTACAAGGATTTTGGAAGGAATGTTAAGTGTTTTGCCTGCATTTACACCAATCCAATTAGAAAGCACAATTAAACCAAATATGGAGTTACCACAGCCAGACTATTTTACATGTAGCATCTCTGGTGTTCTTGCTCCTTTTCCAGAAGCATCTGGCTCTATCTATTCTCAGTGACATGACAACAGGTCAGATGGGCATCTGGTTTGGCATTTCCAATATGCCTCTCTATGTATAAATATTTTCACATAGTAATCTAAGTAATAGAGATGCCAAGTTACATGAACAGCACTTCGGATCTGAAGATCTCAGTGGTAATGCCCTATTACTGTATAATACCGTTTTATGCAGATGTTACATCATAACTCTATATTTATGCAAATTGTGCACCTAAATTTGAAGTAATAGAGAATGTCTGTAATGAGGATCACAGGAAATAAGTGGTGTAAATTATACATACTAATGCCACAATTCCTTTCTCTTATAAAATGTGTTGTGTAGAGAAGAAAACTGTGCTATTTAGGATGTACCTTTAAAGCCCCCTGGCAGGTTTCAGATCCTGTATTTGTTAGAACAGAGAAGCAAGTTTGAATTGTTTTAAATACCAGTCAGTACCATAGCCCCATCATCTTATTAACCTCAGCTCTGTGAGAACTCCAGGGTATCAGCTTCGGCTTGGCACAGCCTTGAATAAACACCTCCATGACTAGGGCCTGCTGCTGGTCTTTTCCTAGTCTGAAGGGCCTCTAACCTCATTTATGGTGGCAAAAGCAACAAACTTCCCTGTTCCATCCCAGGGCAGGATCTGGCACTGCCCACCCTGACATTATGCCAGGATACTTTAGTACAAGCCATTAGAAGAGGTGTCAAGGAAATGGGCTTTCTGGAGCCAGGGTAGTTCATTAGTTTCATAGGTTTATGCAGAAAGGTAGTCTATCAAGCTTGACAGAACCCATGACAGAGACTATGAAGAAGCTTTCGGCTTCATCCAGGCAGGATGTTCCTTGCGACTGGTGGCTCAGGGCTGCTCTTCATCTCTTAGGCAGGGAAGTAGCTATCCACTACTGCTGCTGGACACAAGTAACACTAGACCAGTTACCTGTACCATCTCCCCTTTACACTGTTGTGCTCACACCCCTCCTTCTTCCTCAGAACCACACAAGATTGGCAGCACACAGTCCACTGCAGTTAACAGCCAGCACAGTGGTCATACCTATGTTCCCTGGCTCTTCCATCATGCCTCTCTGCAGTCTCAGCCCAGCAGCTTGGCCTGGGGTATTGGTGTATTCAGTCTTCCACAGCTGTGCCAGCAAGCAGGTAAAAATGGAAAAAGCATGAATTATAACAATGCAACAAGAGAGATCTCTGTCTGTCTGGTTCCCAGCAAGGGATGAAAATTAGATTTTTAACATTAGAACAGGTTTTCACAGTTCTCTTTCAAAAAATCACTGTGCTGCAGGGTGTCACTCTGGAGAAATATACGCAGGGAGCTGGTGGGTTTGTGGAACTTACATAATAAAGAGGATCCCAAGTAACCCAGGAATCATAGAATCATAGAATGGTTAGGGTTGGAAGGGACCTTAAAGATCATCTAGTTCCAGCCCCCCTGCCATGGGCAGGGACACCTTGCACTAGACCACGTTGCTCAAAGCCACATCCAGCCTGGCCTTGAAGACAGCCAGGGATGGGGCATCCACAACATCTCTGGGCAACCTGTTCCAGTGCCTCACCACCCTCTCTGTGAAGAATTTCTTCCTGATATCTAATCTAAACCTCCCTGATTTCAATTTATACCCATTCCCCCTTGTCCTATCACTACAGGCCCTTGTAAAAAGTCCTCTCCCAGGACCCTTGTAGGCCCCCTTCAGATACTGGAAAGCTGCAATGAGGTCTCCTCGGAGCCTCCTCTTCTCCAGGCTGAACAAGCCCAGTTCTCGCAGCCTTTCGTCATAGGAGAGGTGCTCCAGCCCTCTGATCATCTTCGTGGCCTCCTCTGGACTCGCTCCAAGTGGTCAATATCCTTCTGATATTGAGGGCTCCACAGCTGGACGCAGTACTCCAGGTGGGGTCTCACCAAAGCAGAGTAGAGGGGCAGAATCACCTCCCTCGACCTGCTGGCCACACCTCTCCGGATACAGCCCAGGATACGGTTGGCCTTCTGGGAAGCTCTTCCCACCAGACTGGAGGTGGAACCAGCAGTGAATTCCTGCTCCTGAGAAAGTATGACTTGTCTCTGGTCTACAGCGATTCAGTATTCCCTTTCCTTTCTCCCTACTACCTACCCTCACCACTCCATCTGTGCTTCCTGTGATCATGATGCTGTGTGTGTCCCAGTCCATCACTTCGGCAAAGCAGCAGCAAACAATACGGCTTTTGGGGCTGCAGGTGGTGTTAATGCTTGCAAGAAGCTGGCCATTGACTGTCCACAGATACAGGTAAGATCCAGCACAAGAGATAATAGCACCCTGTAACAAATCAAGAAGCAATGTTTCAACACCCTACACATCCTCCTCACAGCTCTTAAATGCTGATTATAAATTACTGACAAAAATCTGACAAAATCTGACCTTCATTTTGCTTCTGGGCAAATGATTTAAACCACAGATAGTAAAAAAATGTCTTTTTTTTTTCCTCATGAAAAATTCCTACATTTCTATGTCATAGAGATCCAAACCGTCTCAAATTTAGCAAGATAATGTAGAAACAAGGGGGTCTTAAATCTTTTTAAATGAAAACATTTCTTTAAATATTACCCATTTTCCAGAAAATCTAGGCTTTTAGTAAAAAAGTAGACTATCAGACTGATCTAGCTACTGTCGGGGACAGGGACTGTGGACAGGCAAAGCCTAGCACAGGTTCTGGACCAGGACTAGTGTTCTTTTCAATTTTACAAATAAGCATTCTCTTAAACAAGGGAATGGTGATCACCTGCTTAGCTGAGAAGCCTTTGGTGATTTCACAATCCTCCTCTGCCCCTCACAGGGAGCTTAATGCCATCGCATTTTTAGACCGTGCTTTGCGTTTGACCGATGACCAGCTCAGCGTTGTGAGCTGCCCTTCTGCTGCAGATAACATCCTTTGCAACCGAATCCTCTCCCTTCCGTGCAGGTGTACAGTCTTACCACAGCCTGCATGTGAGGAGCAGGCACACAGGTAATCCCTTGGGGACAAGGGCCAACGCTCCAATTTCAAACCATCTTATCAAAAGTGCATTTTGATCAAGTTACTAATTGAAATTCCACCTAACCTTTCCACTCTTGATACCTACTAAGAACCAGCTAAATAGAACACCATCAGCAAAGTCATCTGATTCTGGCAAAGGCCAGTGTGCCCTTAAATTAGCAGCGTGCATCTGGTTTGAATCAACTGACACTGTACTTCAGCCCTGCATGATCTGGGGCCAGGGCTCGTCGCATTGCAGGGCAGAATTTGGAAGATAAAACAGGGATAGTGCATTTGAAACAAAGTTGCCAATAATTAAAGAGATTACACTTCAGCCACCTTATCTGCATGAGAGTACATAATGTCCAGGCATTTGGTAATGATCTAGCGTGTTTTTCAGGTCTAGACCAGGGATTGAAAACTAACCTAAATCATTAGTAACAACAAGCTTTTACAATCCTTCTTAGCTTATAAACTTTTTGGGACAGCCTTTTTATTTGGTGTCTACGTGATGCAAACACCATGAAGTTTGGGTCTATAAATGGAGCTTCTAGATGCTCAAGCAAATATATAAAACAACAATCACATAACAAAGACCTGCATAGGGTTCTTATTTCACAGCAAAGTATGTGGTTCAAGAATTTACTTTCTTCAAAGCTTTGCTTCCAAATAATCTGAATTTTCCAGAGAAAAAAACCAACTTTGTTAGCAAACATGTAATTTTGTTTCAATCAAAATATTTTCTTTTTATTTTCATGTTATAATATATAAATATATATAGAAAATCTAAACAAAAACACATTTCAGAATTAAACATCCAGTTCTGCTAACATCAAAAAGAATTTTTTCATCCACAACATATGGACCTTTTCATTTTTTTTCCTTGAAGTTTCAGTCCTAAGGGTTTTCCTCTACTAAATGAACCTTTCTGCAGACTATTGTTCAATCAGTTTAACCATTTTCACTTCAACAAGCTGCAGAACTGCTCTTGGATCAATCACCAGACTGTTCTTGGCACAGACCATCCTGGTTTTGGATAGCTCTAGAAGAGGAGCTACCAATTAAAAAGGCTACTGTCAGTGGTGGGCTGCTAGGTAGAAAGGAGAGGATGACACCTTCTTGGGGTTTCAAGCCCATGGTCCATGCCAGCCCACCTGCTCATTTCTGAATGCATGGCATTGATTCAGCTGACTGAACCACCACCAGGATCTGAACCTGGACCACCTGGGTATTCTGAACTGGCCTGCTGAAGCCACTGGCCTGCTGTTTTACACTAACCAGGACCCCTGGGGCTGGCAGCTGAGCTGGCACTGAAAAGGCTACTTAATTCCCACACTCAATTACTAACCATCAGACTGCATGGTTAATAAAGATCTGATGTGAGATGACTATTTTTGCACAGACTAAGAGGAGAATATTGGCCTGGTTTCTTACTGCTATGAACTCGATTTTGTTTCTCTTGGTACAAGCTCTGGTACTGGATCCAACCTTGAATTGTCTGAGCAGCTGGAATCCTGCTCTAGTATATTAACAGAGAAAGAAAGTACAAATGTGCAAGCAATATTTTTGGGAGATAGAAGATTGGAAAAAATCTTATCCAGAGTGTTTATAGTAATATACGATACAGAATATTTTCCTATCAACATGCATGCAATTCTGCCAGGCAGAGACCACAACAGACTTATAATCACTGCTATCAAGACCCCTCCCCTCACCTGGGAGTAGAAGGGAAAGTAAAGCCAACACTGTCACTGCAAATGTGTAAAGAAGTTGTCAGCTGAGGTGGCAGACTAAGGTTTAACATGCCTTAGCTGACATGGCTTTGCTGTTTGAGTATCAGAAGAAATTAATGAAATACTGGAGGCAATAAGGTTATGGGTGAGCCAAATCCAGGAGCTGCTAGGGTAACACTTCATACTCCATAAACCAGAAGTTGTTTAATCCTGCTATCTACCCATCCAAAGATGCCTCTACTTAGCTACTCAGTCTAAGATGTTGCTTTTAGTGCTTGCCTCTCATCATTAAGAACACTATTAGCAACCTCTGTAGAAAGAAAAAAAAAAGAAAAATCAATGTATCAGACTCTCAGGATGTTTTTACGTTGGGAAGAGCACCCATTAAATTATCATGAAATGTTCATGGATACATCAGAAGAAAGATGATAAATGAAGATCTTACTGTTGAATTGTTGATGGCAACAGAACAGAGGCTTGCCTCATGGACAGGAAGCTGGTTTATATAAGTGAGCTGGTTCAGGTCCCAAATGATGCAGGTCTTGTCATCAGACCCACTCACGAAGATGCTGTAGGTCACAGATGCAGCAAGGCAGGTGACTGCCTGAGTGTGCCCATACAAAGCCTGGTGAGGAAACAGCAACCAATAAAACAAGGCAGAGGGTGGTTGATCTACTAGGGAACCACAGTCCTACTATCATTTGCTTAGAATGAACAAACAATCATTGTTATTGGACAAATGAAAAAGGTGTGAGGGGAAATACTAAAGAATTTTATAGAAACATCCTTGTGGTTGAGGAAAGTGGAGTCTCCAAGAGATTAAATTATTTCCCTCCTGGTGCACACTAACTCAGAGTCCTCAGCTTACATTTCAGACTGTATGACAGTGCTTTGTGCTCAGCAACAAAACATCATTTTTCACTTCAGTCCAAGCAGTTTTAATTAAAATTTATGCTTGAAATCTACTATTTCTCAATATTAAAAAACAAAACAAAACAAAACAAAAGTTATCAAGTTGTATTTCAGGGACCTTCCCCAGTCTTTTCATTCTGTTTTTCTGAACAAAGAGTAATATTTTTCCAATTTTAAGAAAAACAGCATTTGGAGATAATTTTTGCTTTAAAGCCATATATGAATTCCTTTCTCTTTCATCATTATCCAACGTTTTTTCTAATAGGTTCTAGAGACGTAAGGAGTGCCCAGTTTAATTTATCCTCAGTTTCATAAAAAAAAGTCTACACTTTAGGCAATTTAATAGCACAGACAGAAATCATGGATAGAAGTATATTGATGACAATTTTTTAATGCAGCATTCTCGAGTGACAGCTGTATACATTCC